AGTATAGATATAACAGCAGAAAATATGTACAAGTAAATAGGAAAATATTTTAAATTAAATGTAAAACATGTCTCAAAATATATAGATTTTCTTTATTAATAAAGTTACTGTTACCAAAAGAAGCCTGAAGAAAGAATCCCTATAAAATGGTAGCTTACAAATCCTTAAACATTAATAAAATAAATAACATTCTGTGATACTTATTTTTCAAAATACAATCTAAATTCCTACTTAATGAAAAATCCCCTAAAAACCTGGATACTCTATTTCACTTTCCCCTTTCATGGAAGGGTATCCTGACATTCCCAGTCCGTGGATTCCTCGCGCAAGTTGTCTGCACGAAAGCGAAAGATGAAATCATGCGGTCTGCCGAGTGGCTCCAAAGGTGAGGCAGGGATTTGTTTTTGCTTTCTTTTTTTGGGAATGGGAATAGGTGACTAAGGGCCGGGTAACTCGGTGGCTTCCACTGGGCGGATGAGTGGTGCAGCATGTGTGCCACATGGCCACATGGCGCATTGCCGTATCCACGGCGACTACGACGACGACGACTGTTTGCCTGCCTCTTTGTTTATGTTTATCCTCTCCTTCTTTTTTGCTATTTATATATTACAAAAATATTTCAAAGACTTTGGTTTATTATTTTGCGCTTATTTCTAATTTTTTCCGCATCATCTTGGTTTTTATTTCACCTTCTCTGCCGTGATTTATACCCAATATGCCAAGTGTGAGGGCTGCAAGTTAATGTGGCGCATTATGTAGCCACATAGTTTCATCTTCCCGCTTGGATTATGCAAAGTTATGCGGTCTCTTCGCCAAAAATCTGGCCAATAAACTGCAGAGCAGGCAGCAGCCAAGGCACATATAAAACAATTTGCCTACAAAAGAGCCATCTCATTTCGGGGCGGGGGCCGGCAATTTAAAATTGTTTATAAAACAGGGCCAAAACCAGAGGCTGCCACACACATGACCATAAAACTTGCAGGGCAAGGATGGTGGAGCTGCTCCGCTTCTGGTGGGGCCACAATAGCTCCCAGAGGTCGGCATTAAATTCTGCCGCTGCTGCTACTGCTGCTGGCCTATATAAGCCGGGGCCAGGGTTTGGGCCACGGCCCTAACTACACCATGGGGACGGCAATTGATGATAGTCTGAGGCCCAAGATATGTATGTGTAGCCCAATCCAAAAGCCAAAGCCGATGTCGAAGCAGAAGCTGAAGCTGAGCTGAGCCGTAAGCCTAAGCGAATGCTCCAGGATATAAAAGGACTTAGTCGCATGTTAACGCAACGCCTACGCAAATCCATGGCCGGAATCAGGATCAGAATCAGGAACAGAAACAGGAGAGGTAGCAGGAACAACCACCACCGGCAATGCAATGCATCGGCGATACACTGACAGAGAAAGTGAAGGAACTTTAGATGAAAATATGAGAAAACAAGACAAGATTTTTCCTATGTTTTTCATTTACCAAATATTATTCTTAGCTAAATTTCCCTCAGTGCCTGGCCTGGGGTTGCGATGCTGCTCTTGCTTCTGCCCATCGTGATGCCTCCCTGTTGCCATCGCCTCATCCCCAATTTTGGCCATTATGAAGTCATAAACGCACATGCAGCCAGGCCAAAAATTGGAAGAGCCCATTGGGGATGAGCCCGGGGGCCGGCTCCATCTTCATCTGGCCTCGACTTTTGGCCGTTTTCCTTGTTTTTTTTAGCACATGTAAAAATGCTTGTTATCAAGAAGGAAACAAAGACACCACCAGCCAGGAGGCAGGAGGGGACTCTGGAAAAAAAAAATTAAACAACAAGATGTGGACAATTTTCGGGCACAGCCTCGGGCTTAAACTGTTATTACCACTGGAGTGTGGGCCGGAGTCCGGAGTCGGAGTCCGTCTGCTGTTTATGAGTTGCAAAGCCGTAGTCAGACAATAGCCGGCAACACATGAGCGCTAAGCCGGAGGACATATTACGGGCCTGCTCCAGTTTGCCATTTTAAACAGCAGGAGAGATGGTGAAACTCCTCCTCCTCCTTAGTCCTCTGGCCACTCCGGCTGTCAATGGTCGGGGCTTCTTATGCCTGGCTGCATTTTATATTTATCCTGTGCCGGAATTTGTGACCTCTGTACATTAGAAGTGAACCTAAAGTGAAAGGTGGGCACAATGTCCGCTCAGGTGAATTATGTAATGCCGATTGTGCTAGGTGTGCGTAGATTTGGATTCGGCGATGGGAAAGTGGTGTAGTTTTAGTCATAAATTTATGTTTGCCTTGGAAATTCAGTTTTAAGGAAGCACAAAACATATAATTAAAAATTAAAACTTACTTAAGGATTTTATATACATTTTCAAATTAAATTTCAAAGAAAATTGAACACATAAACTGAAGAAAAATAACATTTTTCTTTGACATATAAGCTAACTATGTAAAGCAGCCTGTTATAAACATTATTTTCAATTTTTCATTGAAGATAGAATCTCTATTTTAAATCTAAATCAATCAAATAATAAATAATATGACAGAATTATAATTCAATACGTATTAAATAGCATTTTAATGGATCAAGTTCTAAAAAGCACCTTAATTTGTTCTTCAAATGTTTAGGAAGACATTGTGTTAATAAAATCTAAAGCTAAAATCGAAATTAAATTTGTTTTATCAATTACAAAGGTAAATACAACCTTAGTTTTACCTAGAACATTAACTAGGAATGAGTTGTAAGACCGATCTTCAGAGAATAGGTGTTATCTACTGTGTTTCATAGACTTAAATATCCTTGATAATAGAAAAACACACCGAAAATCTTTTAAAAACTATTCAAAACGAAAGCATTTTCATATAAAATTCAATTTTGTTTGTATTTTTTATATTCTTTACATATTTTTTTCATTACTTAAAGCTCTGTGCCATGGCAATCGTGATGTAAGTTGAGCCGCTCCCCGCTTGCAATAATGCTAATGCCCCGGGGGCGTTAAACTAATTGAATGGCCTTCCACTTGTTGGCGGGCTCTCGATCTCAAATTTCCGATATTACAAAGGGCCACGCGTCAATTACACTGAAGTAGATGTAAAATGTATTTTAAAAGCTTGGCCAATATTGTCTTACTGCGTTCTCTGCGGGTGTCGGTGCAGGGGCGGGCAATCGCGTTAGTCCTGGAACTGGGCGCGTGTTCCTTCCGGTTTTGCCGCCAGCACGTGTCCGGGACAGGACAACGGAGTGGTCCTGGCTTTAAGGAACTTTAACTGCGCCATTGAAGCGAGGCAAAGGAGCAACGAGAAACGATGAACGGTGAGCGGAGAACGAATCCGGCATTGGGCAACACATTTTTGGCATACTTCACACAATCTACTGATGAAGTCAACTGGAAAACTCGCATAGCTTTGATGTTTCGACAGCAATTGCAATGTATACACACGGATACACACACCAGGACAGCGTCCGACTAGCAAAAGGATGCCGATGCCATTTGTTTGAATGTCCTTTGGCGCATTTCAAAGCTCGCAAAAAAAAAAAAGAAATAGACTTCAAAGCCCGCAAAATGCGAACGAAAAACTCACGAAAATAACCTTTATGTGCGGCAGAAGCTGTGGTCAGCTCATGCCCATGCGAAAAAGGGGGCCAACTAAATAGTAATTTACCAAATTAGTTTGTTTTCCTAATTACGAGTACCGTGCGGCAAACTAAAGTTCACTTTCTCCCTCCTCCTCCACCCCCCGCCGTGGGCTATTACATTTTTTTGCAATTACTCTAAAAGGATTTCAATTAGCGTTTAAAATCGCATTAAACTAAATGAAAATTCGCGCACACCACACAAAATAAATATAAAATATATTATAATAACATTCATGCTTTTAATAGGAATTACGGAGAAACATTAGCCAACACAAAAAAGGCACCATAAAAATAAAGCCAATTACCATAATATTGTAGAAATGCAATTACAAAATATCCAAATTACATAATCTGGGATAGTTAACCCTTTTTATTTGGCGAAATCACAACTACTATATATTGTAGTCTGAGGGTGAGTGGGAAAATTAATCAAGGTATTTCCATCACAAAATTTCAATGGACTAACTAGTAAGCAAATTATTTTGTTCGTTAATACCTTTTGCTGCATTCTAAACAAATGCATTCGAAAATGAACTACAAATTATGCATTATTAGGCAGATAGCGTTGGTAATTATTAAAGTAATAAACGAGTTTTGGGTTAGCCAGACAAACAGCTGCCCTGCTTAATAATAATTACAGGTATTAAACCTTTTCAATAATGATGAGGAAGAAATTAAGTATAAGCTTTTATGGTTCCTATGAAAACGTTATTTAATTAAAAATTTTATTTTAAATAAGAATAAACAAGGAATGTTTGTTACTTATTTTTAATATACGGTTTTAAAATATCTAAAATGGAAGCATTACTTTTCATACCCCTAAAGAAAGCCTTACTTGTTATAAAATATTTATAGGATTAAGAATGAACAAGTTATGGTAATTTTCTATAAAAATACAATTAATAAAGTACCTTGCAAAAATTAAAATTTTACATAGAAACAATAATTAACAAGCAAAGGATTTAAAAAATTATTAATTTTTTATTTTTAAAGTATCTAAAATGGAAATCAAATTTAACTTCTGACTAATTTTGCCTAACAAAAATTTTAAAGCTTCTCTATACATTTTTATGTATGTATATGCCTCAAAAGGTTGTCTTTCATAAACTAATTAGAAACAAAGTAATAAAGTTATTTTATAGGTTCAAGTGAATTCATACATATTTTTTATAATTTAAGCAAAGCTTTCGAGCTTAGTCGTTCATTTACAAACTGCAAAGTGAGCAATAGACTGATCCCTAAGGTTGCTAACCTTGACAGTGACATTAAATTTACGAGTTACCGTGACGGATGCATCTCTTTTAGTGATAATCAAAATGCGAGATATATACAAAACTAAATTTAACAAATACAAATCGTCACGCAAAGTTTCACTATAAAAAGCGTTGTGCGCTTAACCAGCGATTGGAGAACTAAAAGTTGTAGCAAAATGAGGACTACTCTAGCATTGACTCTGCTGCTCAGCTGCCTGGCAGGCACTCTGGCCGTAAGTCTAACCCGACTTGATCCACCTTTAACTTTTATATATATATATTTATATATAAATCATCTATATAAGGAACACATGGACATGGACATGGAGTCCTCGTTGGGCAAGGGAGTTGTCGAGAGTTGCCTGAAGGAGAATGGTGTTTCTGGCGATGACCTGGCGGACCTGCAAACCGGCAAGGTGAAGGCATCAGATGCCAAGGACAATGTAAAGTGTGCCACTCAGTGCATTTTGGTGAAGAGCGGCTACATGGACTCCACGGGCAGCCTGCTGGTTGACAAGATCAAGGAGCAATTTGCGAACTCGCCCCTCAGTGCCGTCGTGGAGAAGGATCTGGAAAGGTGCAGCAAGGTCAAGGGTGCCAATGCCTGCGATACTGCCTTCCAGGTGCTGGGATGTTTCCAGAAGCAGAACAGTCAGGCCTAAGAATGGGATTATCCTTTAAACACAGGACTTCCAAGTGAGCAATACAATTAGAGAGCAGCTAAAATTATAGAATCCAGAATTGTACCAACAACAGCATTCAATGTTTAATGTATAAACAAATATATTACCTTCCATGTTTTTTAAAAAGTACTTCTGGCTTTTAGAATTTTGATTAGACTTCATAAAAGTCTATTATTAGTTATTTATTTCCTAATTTCCTTTCTTGGTTTAAATACTTCATATTTCCTAAACGCCTTTAGCGCTTTTTAAAATCACTTAAATACGCTCATATTTCTTAGCGGTTCTGTTAGCTTTATTTGGTGGCTAATTTGGGAAATATTCTTGCAAGCATCTGCGAAATGCCAGCAATTTAATTATTTCGAACCGCTTTGGCAAAAAGGCAAACAGAGCACTCATAAAATCATAGCCATCGGCAACAATTTCAATCGAATTGTCAGGGTCGGAACAGGACAAACTCTGTGCCCCCAAAAAAACTCCGAGTTCTTGCTGTTGTTATCGAAGATAAACTAAGTTTTCATATATAAATAGATGCTGTCGGCTTCCCAGGCCAGGCCGCTATATATATATATATATTGTATTCCGAGGAATTTTTAATTTCTACATTGTGAAAATATTTATTGAAACCGAAGAGTGCCCCAAGGCACCGAAAAGTTGATGGAGTACCAAGCAAAAAGGGACACAAGAAAAACAAGAAAGAGGGATACATTTTGTGGCATCCAAGAGTGAGGATACCCCTTAGTAAAGAGGGAAAATGTGAGAAAAATAATCCAATAATATATACATTTTAATTTAGAAAACAGTGCTAAAATATTGCTGTAAATATATTGTCTCCAAAACAGTACAATATAAATTTGTATAGCTAATCTTCATTTTGAAAGGAAGGTAACTTATTAAGTAAATGCCAGGAGCCTGTTAATTTTGTAATAAACCCAAAAATTATTATATTTAATAACCTTAATTTTATAATTTTTTAACATTTAATATACCCTTTTCCCATGCTCTTAAGAGGTATCACTGGAACACAAAAATTGCGCAACGCTTGGAGTTCGATGGTATCGAAAAATCTTCTGATTGGAAGCCGCAACGAAGGCAGGAGGAGCCTCTGCCGGAGCCGGAACTGGAGTGACTTTAACGGAGCTGAGCAGCTTAAAGAAGAGAGTCCTGGGCTCGTTCCAGCTTCGGACAGCTCCGGTAATAGCCACTGAAACCTGGGCAAACAAATTGAATGAAATCAACTCGTTAAAAAGTAAATAACTCTGATGAATGGCTGGACGGCACAAAGAGTGCGGGCCAAGTTACTCAGGTAAGGTGGCCCCCCAGGTGGAAAGGTAGAAAAGGCCGGGATCTCTGCCTCGCCGCCAGTCAATTGAAAATGAAATACAAATAAAAATGCAAACAACGGCCCAACGCATCGGCCACATACAAATGCTCCTTGGCTAAGCAGCAGGAGCAGCGGCGGCAGCAGGACGAAAGAGAGGGAAATGGCTCCAGGACATCTGGCTGGCTGGACTGTCGGGAATGACCGAGGAAATTAGTAGACCCGGGCACAAAAGGAGCCTGGAAACGTTGGAATGGCAGCCAGGAAATGGCCTGTGAGCCGCCGCAAGCCCAGGAGCCAGCAAGCCACGACATCCAAGAAGGACTTGCAGCTGAGACCGCCGCCTGTTTTCCTTTCACATTCATCGATGAACTTTCAATAACAGAACTTTAGTTTGTCGACGGTTATTTTTTTTGTTATTTTTTTATGGCGGCCCCTGGGCTTCCTCTACTTTTTTTATGCACCCTTTTTTCAAGGATATGACATTGAATTGCATTGGTGGGAAGTGATGCAGGGTGGCGAAAGGGAAAAGTTTGCAACCCAAATGGGTTTTGGCCCAGGCCTGCAAAAGTTGTTGCAAAAAAGTAACTTTTTTGTGAGGGATAAGAGCTCTTGAAACCAGTTGAGAAACTTATCTGGCTGGTAGGGAATCTGGAAAATAAGCCCTGATTGTAAGCATCACATAAAAGATTTATAATTGACTTCTTACTGAGATACTGAGAGTTTAAAGTGATGCAGGCAGAAAAATGCATAGGAACCATTTACCAATTTTGATTGATATTTTAAGAATTGATTTAATATATTTATCCATCATTTTTTCTTTTAATTGAAGACATTTCTACAGTGTAGAATTATACCCTTGAGTGGTCTCCCCCACCCTCTCGGTAGTCTGTCAGTTTCACACCCAAAGTCACGAGCTTAATTACATTCCTGATGGCTTTCAACGGACTCGATCCCTGGGTCTGGTTGTTGCCAAGGCAACGTGCATACTCTTAGCCACATTGCCGCTGCTGTTGACAATTTCCAGGGCGATGCTTCGCATTCAAAATCGCAGCGCTCTCGCTTCCGACCAACCGCAGTTTATTAAAAGCTAAACAGCCAAGTTTGCTGATGCCGCCAAGAGCAGGAAATATGCATAGACCGGAGACGGAGGTAGAGGCGATGTCGATCCCAGTATTCCTCCAATCCAATCCCAGTCAAGTCAAAACCCATTCAACAACAGTTTCGCATAATTGTAAATTCAAGTGGAAATGAATGAATTTACGCTGAACTCGACAGAAAATACCAGCAAACGAATGTTGCTGTTGCCATCGCATTTGCTTTTACCTTTTGCTGTTTCTGTTTTTCGCAGAGCAGGTAACAGGTAAGCACGGTACAAAATATTCAAAAATATCCTATATTAAATTACAATAAATTCTGGGAAAATAAGATGGAAGTATTTAAATGTTTCTCTATTAAAAAAATTCAATTAATGAAACATAAAACTTAAAATAAACTCTCTCCCATTTCGACCTACAATTTCCTAGATCCTTAAAGATAATTCTTTCTCCCTTTTCTTTGAGTGTAGAAGGTAACGGGCAAAGAAGGTAACGGATGCTGATGGCAATGGCGATGCTAACGGTAACGTTTCCCAATGGCGCGCAAACAATATGGCGTCGCCGTCGAGGTCGAGGATTCAAAATGGAGTTTGGGTATCGCCACCTGGATGTCGGGTGTGGAACTGGAAGGTGCAAATGGAAGCTGGCGCTCCGTTAGCTGTGGCAGAATCACGTTGCCTGCATATTTTCATTCATTCGCTTCAGCGTCAACGTCTGCCGACGACTGCAAAGTTATGGAATGCATAACGGGTTGGATGTCCCCTCCGTTCCTTCCTCCCTCTCGCAATGTATTTGCACTTTTGTGTATCTGCCGGATCCGACACAGAGAGCCTGAATGTGCACACACTTCTTCTTGCCGCCCCGCTGGCTTGTCCTTCAAGTATTTACGCCTTTATTTATTTAACATTTCAATTGCATATTTTCGCACAAAAGCGCGTGCCAAACGGGGAGGCGAGCCTCTGATGATGATGCTGGGTATCCCCGAGCAATGCAATGTCAATGCCCAACAACATCCTTCGAAAGGGGTTAATGCGAATGCCTGTGGGGGCTTAGTCCACATTCGCACACAAAATATCTGAAGGTCCGGCACGTTTTCCAGGGGCGTGATCCATGCAAAATATTGTCCAGAAGTCAGTGTCATTGCTCTGGGCTCCAATACTTTTGCAGGGGAGGGGATTTTTTATACAACTCATCAGCAAATAGGAGAGCAAATATTAAAGCTGGATAAATAAGTGATTAAAAAGAAAGATTTTGGGCTTGAAAAAGCAAATGAAAAACTTCGGGAAGTGAAGTTAATACACGCCTGCAGTTTTCATTTGAATTATAAGATCGTATTGGTGATGGATCATAACTAAGCTTAAAATATATGACAATAATTTTATATGACAATTTATTCAATAAATCAAATATTAATAAACTCATAACTAAGCCAAGAAAGCATTAATTTTAATTTGGAAAGCTTTCCAATGTTAGTTTTTATTAGGTTAATAAATCTGCATACTCAGTTTAGAATTATAGAAAAATCAAATTTTTGTCAAATTTTGACAATTTTAACGATGTAACCCCTTATAAAATTTTGAAATTTTGATAAAATCGAAAAAATTAATCTTACGACCGGCAATGGCTAGATCGATTCTCCAATTGATGCTGATCAAGAATATATATGATTTATAGGGTCGGAAATGACTTCTTCGCATCGTTACAAGTTTCTGATTACAATTATAATACCCTTCAAGGGTATAATAATAAATGTTTATTGTTATGAAACTACAGAGAGTTATTTCTTGGGTTTCCCGTAGGTTCTTAAAACAACAAATAAAAAATTCCATGAATATCTTTATTTATTAAAAGTCAAATGGAGAAATCAAATAAAGAAAAACAAAGATTCTTTACCAGTAAACCAAGAAACTGATTTCCCTTTAGAAAATCTTCCTCCTCTAACATTTCCTCAACTATAAACCGCTGAAATTCCAATATTCATCGTGAAACTTTTATAAAAAAAAATAGCTTTATGCAACTGACAGATTGATGGGACTTGTCCAACAGGCAAACCTTCTCCTAGTGTTTACTCAACACTTTCGTTTTTCTTTAAACACCCAACCCCTGTTCCATCACCATCATCATTATGATCATCGCAGCATCATAGCTATTTTCATTGGCGCCCCAAAGTATGCTGCGACGCTTTGGCTCGAGTTTTCCCCGCTTTTAGTTTCGATTTTTCTTTTATTTTCTTCTTTTTTTTTTTTGTTGGTTCGGGGAGCTCTTTTGGGGGCTTGCTTCTGCTGGTGACATCGATTGTTATTGTTGGGCAAACAATGGCAAACATCGCCAAATACATTTGCCTGCGCCTGCGAGTATCTGTGCGTACGTCACTCGAGATAAGTCGACGTCGACGTGGCGGCTTCTTGTGCCTCTTCGGATGATGCCAAGATTGATGGTTGCTTCCCCCAAAAATGATACCTGATTGAGTGTGTGCGACCGAGTGTTGTTTGCCTTGGCATATTCAATATTGTTGGGAAACTCTCTCAGCTCGTACCTCTTAAGTGTCATTTTGTGTTCTCGACACGCATTTTATGGCAGACTCGCAAAAGTTTTCGGGACACATCCCATCCCATCCCATTCTCATTCCTTCGAGATGCCGATGACACTGAGTGAGATAAATGGTGACAAGTTTGTAGGCCAATTTGCGAACTAAACCGTCTACCAGGCGCCAC